TTTTTGGGAAATCAATTTTTTGTTGTCATGTAAAAAGGGGGGGCCCCTCCGCTTCCCCCTTTAAAACATTAATTTCCTGGGGGACCCCCAAATTTTCAGTTCCCGTCCAGGGGGGGTTTCGGTTTAAAAGAGCCCAGTTTAAAAAAATTCCCTTTTTAAGAGAGGTCAAAATAGCCAGACACACCCCTCTCTTAAATCGAACCCCGATTCTCTTAAACCGAACCTGCCCCCCCCCCCCCCCCAACCTGTAGCCCACCAGCTGCCCCCCAACACTGCAGCTACAGTAGTGTCATCACATACATACATAGCTAGCGAGACAAACGGCTCCCACGGATGCCTTGCGCCGCGGGTTCTCGCTGCGTGGCAACGCCGGACCACACCGGCCCTCCCACAGTTTACGAACCACACATGCCGTGTCTGCGGAGGCTACCTTCATGGACTGTGCGGTGTGCCTGACCCGCTTAGCGACAACGAGATGGCTCGCGGAAGGAGGGCAGCCTCACATCCTGGACGCAGCTGAGCTAGGCCTCGAGGCGTGGAAGGAAGTGTCGGCGGAGACAATCAAGAGGTGTGTGCGTATATTATAGGTTGACGAAATATTGTTCACTAATGCCATCATCGTGCACCTTTTGTTTGTATTTGAAGAAGCGTTTTTTTTCACAAGTTGTACAGCTCGTTCTGTTTTATTTTCACCGTGCATGTTCTTTTCTCCTTCCCGCGTACTTGGCTATTCTTTGTTTACAAGGTGCTGGAGGAAATGTGACATCCTTCCTCCAGCGGTGCACGCGGACCTCGACCAGGATGTGGGAAAGAATATCCCCAACAAGAAGGAGAATCTCGACTAGCTGACGGACTTGGTGCAGCGTCTTTCTCTGGAGGCGAAGAAGACAACTCTCGATGAAGACCTTGGCGAGGCACTTAAGGGTCTGGGGTTGGCACCTGGCGCAGCGCCAACCCAGGCTTCCATGGAAGCCGTGCAGACATGGTTGGGTGTAGAGGAGAAAGCGGACGTGGCGGAGGCCATTATTGCAAATCTGAAGGACGATCTTTGTGAGGAGTCGCTTGCCCAACTAAACTTAGACCAACTGAACCTAGACTCGGACGACGACGAGGCCGACTCTTCGGCGGGAGACGAGGGCCAGTGTACGCAGCCCCTGGTCTCTCCTCGTCCGCCTCCATACGCTGACGTATCTAGGCAGTTCGGGGACCTCGAAGAAATAGCAGAGAGGTGCAGCATGGCCGGGGTAGCGTACCATCTTCGCAAGGCGAAGTTAGCCTGGATGAGCGAGGCTGGGTCAAGGAAAACGAAGCAAACATGCATGGCAGACTTCATGTAAAGTTAGTTGCAGAAGAGAGAGGCTGCCAACAGGATGATTTTTTTAAGGGTAGGGTGCACTACTTGTACTGCTGTAGGTGCTTGAGTCACGGGTCTTCAGTTGTTTGTGGGTGTGATGCTTACGTCTCTGTGTTCTGTTGGCAGCTGTCCTATGATATACACTGCTGCTGTACATCTTGGAATTACATCGGTTCTTTGCTACTGCTGTTTGCTTCGTACACAACAATAAGGAGGGATCACGCTGAATGAGGGCCCTCTAACGCACGAAAATATTGTGGATCACAAATTAAAAAAACGTTTCATCACTTCGATCAAGTTAGACCCTGTTAAAAGCCATATATTCGGTTTAAGAGAGGTTTTCTCTTGAACCGAAAGTTCTGTTTAAACCTCTCTTAAATCGGATTAAGAGAAGGTCGTGTTTAAGAGAGGGCTTCTGGATCACGCACACCCCTCTCTTAAACCGTAGCCCCCACTGTAAATGGTTGAATGTTCTCTCTCATGGATGGATGGAGAAGAAGCACGCGTAATTGTTGCGTTCATGCATCGTGCAATGATATGGTGGCGTGCGAATGAAAAGTCTGGGTGAACTGTGCTGTCCGGGTCAGTAGGAGACGGCATGTACGTATCGTCTTTTTTTTTTGGTTTTCAAAGGACACAAGAAATACCGTGTTCAACAATCAATCGAAGACGAATCGTTCTCAACCATCGAACACACTACAGCGTACGAACGTATGCACCCCAAATTTCAGGTCTACCTAAAAGTCTTGGGTAGGAGTTCGTCATGAAACGTGCATGTGTGTATGTATTTACTCCGAGCCTAGATGCTAAGCTTGTGTAGACTACTGCGACAGATACTGACTGTTGACTGAGTGAGGAGGAGAAGGTTTCCTGCCGGGAGTTACTTACGCGTGTTGGTGCTGAGTGTGCTTCACTAATAATTATTATGAAAAATAAGAACACGCACAGAAAGACTGCTCGTTCGAGATATTCCCACGTTGTAATGTTCACGGTGGAATGTTAAGCTTTGCGTCTTGAGAAGAAGATCCCACCCGCCGAGAACGAATGGGTGATCATGTCACTTGACGTTGACGTTCTACGCCGAACGTCGTCCAATAGGAGTCGCGAATATTTTTTGGGTAAACAGCCTGGCGTAGACCGTCCGGGATGCAGGGGGAAATCGCCCGATCTGGGCGCACTTGGCGGTGGTGCAGCGCTAGAGCCCCGCGATTATTCGGCCCCGCAACGGGCGGGCCGCGGTGGAAAGACATTTCTGGGGGACACCGCGAAGAGGAGGCGCGCATTGGAGCTCCAACGCGGACCAACCGAAATTCGACGCTAGCGTCTTGCCTAGAATGAAGGGCCTGATCCTGCCGCTGCGCTCACAGCGACCCGGTTCTGGTCTCTCAGGGCTCGATGAAGCTGGCGCATGATTGTCTACACGTGCACAAGGATCTTGGACGGGGGGGGCTTATCCGCCCCCCCCCGTCCTCAGATGTAAGCGAAGGCTACTCAGTCCCAAGCTGCACGCGTTGGTCGATATGTCGATATTGATTCGAAAAAAATGGCTGTGAAAGAGACGTTGTTTTTGTAGACGACCTTGAACCCGAACACGAAGCCAGCCCCACAGCGAAAGACAGGACACATTGATTGCCAAAGAGACACATATTAATGTATACAAATATACATACATACATAGATACAGACACACATTGCACAGACACGGCTATACTACTCTCCGTCACTTGGGCATACAGCAGCAGTGCATAAATCCGTCCGTCAAATATAACGTCGATAACTCTAAGGAGGCAACTGAAAGAACCGAACGCATGGCAGCTTCGAACGAACCGTGAAATAAAAAATGTTCAGCCGGAATAGTGAAATTTCTCAAAACGTTTTTTGTCCGAAAAAAAACATTGAACACTTTTTTTTCTGAAATTAACGATCTGTAAGAAACCGTCCGAGACTCGACCAACAAGAATTAACGGGGCAGCGAGCTTTGCACGGTGTTTTTTTGTACGGTCATGTAATTGGTTCTGTAACAATTTGGGCGGCAAGGATGTGCATCGGAATCCCTGTAGTTGTTACAAAGTACACGAGTAGGAGTATCGACCACTATTGCGGCACCGAATGCAGGGATTTGGTGAACATGCGTGTTTTTTACCCCACCCAATGAAATGGTCGGGAGGTCCCGAATTGCGCACGTGATTGACAGCATCGACCAAAGACACCCAGCATACATACCTCGGCTGTTCTCACAGACAAACCTACTTTACCTCTATCACCTTATGGCCTAGCACACATGTTTTCGACGCCTATATTACTGTAGTTCACTGCCGTAGGCTAGGCAGCATGTTCGCCGTTCATCAGCTTGCTGAGACCGTACCTGCAAACGTAGCGTTTCGGGATCCGTGTTGAATATTGCTTCTGTTGCCGAGCTAGAGGGATGATGAGGGAGGTGGGATGGTGGGTTCGGTTGTGTGTCCGCGTGGACTGCAAGTTATCTGACCTGTTCCTTGTGACAATGATATATTGTTTGGCACCAGTATATCGTATAGTGGAGAAGAAACAGGTTGTTCATTCAAAAGTTGGTTTCACAATTTCATCTGTTCTGTGTCATCAGTGCGTTGCACGCCTGATACAAAAAAAGAAACGGCGCAACAAATGTACAAGCATGGCAGTTGGCATACCCATGGGCTGTCGGATCAAGCGTGCTTATGTTTGGACACCCCAGCGGTGATAGAAGGCGTGGATTTTGCTTGCTGTGTGTCCTGCGGTTCTACTGCAATTTGAACTTTGGTACAACACGCAGTACAGGTGGAGTATTTGCAAAAAACGAGCGAAGAAATTTGAACTTGAGATTGGATATCGTATCGTTACACCGTGTCTTCTATATGAAAACGCCATGCAAGTGCGGCACGCGCACACAGCAGCTAGCTATAGTAGCAGTCGCCTGCAGACCCCGTTGTGGTCAATTTCCTTTGTACTCCGGGAGAAACCGCTGCTGGTGTGTTGTGTGCATGTCTCCACAAAACACATAACGACCGTTTTCAACTCCGCCCTCCCCACTCCCCCCCCGGTGTTTGCCACCGGGGTCGGGTTTTCGTCACTTGGCAACGACGTTGTAGGACAAGCCGCCCCCCCGGCGTTTTCCATCGGGGTTGGGTTTTCGTCGGTTGGCAGCGATGTTGTATAACAGGCCGATCACTTCATGAGCTCGGCAACCAGGTTACCGCTTTTTTTGTTGCCTTTGGTTTGTTTTTTTGCGGTACCCATGAATAGTTGTCGAGTAGATACCGTTGTGCGGGGTCGAGAACCCTCATTCCACGCAAGAGGGATAGTCGCACGTCGTGTTCAGTTAGTCGAGCACCCTCGAGGCAGTTACACAGTTCTTACAACTGTCTCTGGAAGTGAAAGCACCAGAAAATAAACTAAGTCATACGCAGCTGTCATCCGTACGCAAGGAAGTAAGCACAAGATGCCGAACACCCTTAGCAGGATGCAGCGCAACTATCATGCGACTCGCCGAATACCTCACGGCGCTTCGCGCTTGGTGATGTGAGAGCCTGGTCCGGTGATAACCCCGCGTGCTCCGTCCCGGCTTTGTAGGGATGCGAGGTCAATGGTCTAACGACTACGGCATGCACGACTATGAGTACACCCCCCCCTCCCCACTCTACTCAGCTCGCGGCTTCACTTGCCAACTCACTTTGGACAACCGGGCGAACGTACACAGAAATATGGACCATGTTGCAAAGCGCGGACGCAGCCGCCACCGCCAGTGCACCCGACAATAAGAAGTCAATTTCCAAGCGTGACGGTCGAATGCTGGGCGTCCTGAGCAACGTCCAATGGGGCCCATGCCATTGGATGAAACGATACTACTTTTTAGTAGGACTCCTCCCATGAAAGAAACGAGACACAGACACCCGTGAAATTTCCGTGAAAATACAATTCCATGCTGGATCGTTTAGAAGAGAGGTATTGACGCTGGCTCTTTTTCCTACCATCCATATGTTAATCCTATACAACGAAAGAAACAACCTTCCCGCCAGGCTTAGGTTAGGCATTCTACTGTCGTCAGTAGAAGACACCATGGAGAGGCGTAGTGCGCGATGGCACGTTCAGGTTTGCTACTGGAGCTGAAACATCGAAGGTCGCAGCAGCCTTGAGAACAGTCCGAAATCTGCGCCGGAACCAAGCGGCATCCAATATTGGTCACAGCCGTGCTCCACGCCACGGACCGTAAACCCCTGAACGGGTGCCAGCAGTAGCTTTTTATTGGCATCAGCTACTGCTGTAAACCAGCAGTTCAGGAGATTGTTGTCCGTGGCGGCGAGCACGGCTGTGACAAATGTTGGATGCCGCTTGGTTCCGGCGCAGATTTCGGACTGTTTTCAACGCTGCTGCGACCTGCTATATTTGAGCTCCAGTAGCAAACCTGAACGTGCCAGCACGCACGGCCCCTCTTCATGATGTCTTCTACTGATGGCAATAGAATGCCTAACCTAACCCTCAAAACTGATATTATCTGAGCGCCTCCCGTTTTGGCTTTTTTGACTTAAGTTTAGAACGGTGTAAAATTTTATCTTGATTTCAAACGAGGCGTGTGGAGGTAGACGCGTGAAAAGTATGTTTTGAGCAGCCTCTACTGCCGCCCTGTGCTAGAATCAACGATTTCTGTTTTTCGCGATGCCTTCCGACTGGGCTTGTGTGCCTGTTGTGCAATTTCTGGTTCTCTTGCGTATGTTTTCAATATTTGTTAGCATCAAAATTCCTCTTCTGCCCCCCCGTAAATATGGGCTCGGTATAGCCCCGCCGCGATAAAACATCAAGAAGTGCTGGATCAGGCGGCGGGTGCAAGCCTCATCACACGCCCGCTTGGCCCGCTTGCGTTCGGCCTTCGCTTGGTGGCGCGTCGCCGATGTGCCGGCTTTGACCACCACCTCTCTGCCGCCGCCGCCTCCCGGGCCTCGGTTTGCGCCTTGACCGCCGCCGAAGGAGCT